AGGTCACTGGAGGTGGCAAGCTAGTCCAGGCAGCCGTACCATCCGCACATCAGCCATACTTGGTGGGTGCTGTTGCTGTGTTTTGTTGGCCGCCATGACCTCAACTTCTGCTAGGGGGTTGTTTGTGGGTAGTTTGTGTGGGCGGGGGGGGGGGTAACTGCCAGTGACCATGCAGATGTGCTCAAACAAGCTGGGTGTAGTGACCAGATGTAACGTGAGATAAAATATGCTGCAGGATGCCACCAAATGTAAGCCAGGTGTCATGTGGTAAGATCAGGATATTGTGTGCCCTGCACTAATTGTCAGTATGAATGGATTTGGAACATGATTACGTTTGACATTTGGAAAAACTGACATTGTTAGGTGGAAACAGTATAAACATTTTTGTACTCCATGGCTGTTAGGAGAATGGAAATGTTTTGATCTCTCATAGTGCTGCAGTTTATTTTGTCCATCTTGGTGGATATTAAGCTCAACTTTGATACAAATTAGTCATTATTCCATTTGAACCAAAGTTGGTTCCATTTGAGCCATACTGGTTTGGTTGCCATCCATACTGCAGCATGGCAGAGAGGGTCTTTGACTTCAATGCAGATTATTGTCCCCTCCCCCCCCCCCATTGGCACAAACAATTGGTTCATCCAAAGTTGAAAGAGTTTGTTATTTGTGGCCACAAAATAAATGTGAATATCCCACAGTGTGGTACTATCACATCTGTCAATGTGGACCATGGGGAGACACGCAATGCTGGCGACGGAGTAATGGAAGGGTCAAGCCAGGCCAGGCAGTGACGCTGACGAGACCCGTACCCACTTCCCCCTCGGCACAACAACAGCAGGCTACTCTGGATCACGAGCAGTGTAGGCTGCGCCAGCCGCTGGTGGGCATGTGCGCGAACTGGGAGATTCGTTTATTGGACGCCCATGTTTCGTTCCGAGTAACAAAGGGAAGGTGAGCTGATGCTGGAATATCACTGAAATGAATAAATAGCTTAGAAATGAATAGTTTTAAAATACAAAGTAACCTGAAATGCCAAAGGGAGTTAGACAGAATTTCACCACAGATGCTCCAACGCAGAAAATGCAAAAAAAAAACTAACATCGAAACTGCCCACCCCGTGACCCGTACGGGCACCACAAGTGTCGCGAGCGCTGTCGCACGGACACGTTGTTCGCTACAGCTGGCGTGTGTTCAGATGAAGCGACCGGTACATATGAACGTTAGCACAGACCGGTGCTCTGAACGGCGGTCTGTGTTATATTTGAACGGTGGCCTGTATCACATATGAACGGTAGCATTCATCACATCTGAATGGTGGCCTGTATCACATATGAACCGCTGCCTGTACCACATCTGAACTGTGGCCTGTATTACACCAGAATGGTGGGGTATATCACGTCTGAACGGCGGCCTGTATTACATCTGAACGGCGGCCTGTATCACATCTGAACGGCGGCTTGTATCACATCCGAATGGTAGCCTGCATGACATCTGGACGGCGGCCTGTATCACAACTGAACTGAGGCCTGTATCACACCTGAATGGTGGGCTATATCACATCTGAGCGGCGGCCCTGTATCACGCCCGAACGGTGGTCTGTATCACATCTGAATGGCAGCCTGTATCATATCTACACAGGCCCGTGTCGCTTTGTCCGCAGGTGGTGAGGTGAAGGTGGTACAGGTGCCTGCGTTCGCCGAGTCTGTCTCTGAGGGTGATGTGCGCTTCGAGAAGGCGGCCGGCGACTCCGTCAAGGAAGACGAGGTCAGAGGTCACTTGCACTGCCCTCCCCGATACATTATCCATATAGTCCATGCAAAGGCAATGCAGTTTCTTGTCACTGTTTTCTTTTGTAAAATAGTTTCGTTTTGCATAGTTTTGTGGATGCAATGCGTGGATGCGTCGCCGGCGTCAAAGCGATGCATGCATCTTTGTTTTTATGGAAGGTGTATTGCTTTGTCAGGATCATATCGTTGCATGTTTAACAAACAACGCCAGTCCAAATCTCGCCCTGCTGATTTTGACATGTTGCGATATGCTTAGAACCTCCTCCGTTCGCATCAGTTAAGGGTCACAGTAATTAACTACTGCCTATTTACACCAGTATCGCAGCGCATTAGATCAGCTGAGCAGCCTCCTGTTATCCTCCGTTTGCACTCCGGCGGTAAAGCTGATACCTGAGAGGTTTCCGAGCTTTTTCACCGCAGCTGCTCAGCGCGCCAGTTGGGGTTGTTTCTCCTGGCTGGTGTCGCCGGCGGCCGTGTGTCCAGTCCACTCCCACCGGCAGTGACAGTGGCGGTTTCTATGTGACGAGCCAGCTCCGGCCGGCAGGTGGTCGCTGAAATCGAGACGGACAAGACGTCGGTGCCGGTGCCGGCGCCCGTCGCCGGCGTCATCCAGGAGCTGCTGGTGGCAGACGGCTCCACTGTGAAGCCCGGCACAGACCTGTTCAGCATCGAAGTGGGCGGTGAGTCCGGCCCCGGGCCTGCTGCACATGGCGAAGCACACAGCGCTGCCATTCAAAAGACGGGAGCGTAACTCGCGCGCGATAACTTTTCAGGGGAGTGTGTTTAAGAGATTGTTCTTTCTCAATGGTGACCGACGGACTTGAGATGCCCTTACGTTACGTTACGCAAAAAATCACGCAAGTAAGGTCCCCAGATGCGATGTTCTGCTTCGTTTGTGGTCGGACGTGATAAGTTTTGTCTTTCGTGCTACCAGTTGCCAGGTTGACTTTTCCTCAGACACAACGGTATAATGTTTTAAACGGCGTCTTTGAAAGTGGTGGCACCTGAGCTGCATAAATGGCTCTGTGTAATGAAGAGTTTGGCGAACTGTTTTTGCCAAGTTGCGGAATGCAGGGCCACAGGACAGGTGTCAAGCTGTAGTCAGATGGTGTTCATGGTACCGTCTTTCTAACAGCTGGAATAGTGGAGCACGGTCTTTGGGGGCACGTTAACAGCGAGCAACATTCGAAGTGAACGTCCTCCAGCATGTCAGTTGATACAGGTTTAACGTTAAGCACGGCTGGTTGCAAGGTTGGCGTTATTTGAACGCGGTCGTATTCTTAAATGATACCTGCTATTGCGTAAACGCTTGAACGTGGTTCTACCCGAAAATTATGCCTGAAATCACGTGCGATACTCAACGTAACGCGTTGCACTTGAATCATGACATCCCCAGATAACACGCTTCGCTTTTTTGTGATCGGGCTTCTACAAGGTTAACAAAACACCAGCTCTGGGGACAGGCCCGAAAGCATTGACAAAGTGAGAGAAGATCGAGTCCACTTACAAGATTTAAAGTGACCGGGATCATCCAGCACAGTGGATTCAGCGTGTATCTTAACTGCTTTTTTTTTACTTTGTCTTCTGCACTTTAGCAGTGCATAGCCTTTCTGTTTTTTCAGGTTAGAGCTTATCATCAGCGGCCATCAGCTGCCCGCAGTGGCGGTGCGCTAGTAACGTGCGTCTGTTCAGTCACGTCGTTCATATCAGTTCTGGCGTACTGTGTGAGCTCCATGAGTATTATCAAGTGTCTTGACCTCATCGTGTCCATGCTCATGTTAATGCAGTGAAATTGGTGGCCATAGATAAGACAGTAGCATTAGCCTCATTCCTCGGAAAAAAACAGAAAGCAGAACTCGATAAAGGCATGTTGCCGAAATATCAACCCAACTGTATCTCCATTCTCCCGTTTTTTTTTCTCCGAGGAATAAGGCTAATGCTACCATCTTATCTTTGTGAACAAGGTTCCTCGCTAATGCACTGAGGAACTTACGTAAATTGGTGGCCAGATTCGTTTTACTGGATTGGATGTGCATATGTAAGCCCAAAGTGTAGTTGTTAAGTTTTGTATTGTACTGCAGGAACACATCCATGAATGCATTTTTACAATGCCTGCGGTGCTCGTCAGCTCTAGACATATCGTGTTCCGAAGTACAGTGTTTTCTCAAATGATGCGGTGGTAAAAATCTAGTCTATTCTCTTTGTGTGTTGCCATGGGTGCCAGTAACAGTTTCAGGGCATTAGACATAAACATTCCAAAGCACCTCACGGTATGGTAAGAATAAACCCTTGGTCATGATGCTTGTCTGCCTGCGGCAGGCAAATTTAGTCCTACTTCTTGTTTGTCGGGATCATATCATTTATGCTCTTCAAGCCACATCCATCGCAATTTGATAAGCTTTCTGTCCCATGAAATCCCAAATCAGGACTTGGGACATCTCTTGTGTTAAAAGTACGTGCCTGCCTGCGGTTCCCGACCGCAGTTATTCCGCCCATTGCGCTGCCACTGTGTTATTGTGTTTCAGCAGCAGGCGGTGGTGCCGCGCCATCTGCGCCCAAGAAGTCCGAGGAGCCTGCTGCGAAACCCGAACCGTCCGCCGCCCCCGCAGAGGAGATCCCTAAGGATGTGCCGGCAAAGGAGGCTCCGAAGCCGCAGGCGGAGCCGGCGACCGCGGGGCCGATCCCGAGCCGGCCGCCGGCGCCCGCCGCCACCCGGCCGGCGGCGCCGTCAGCCAGCATCCCGGTGGCGGCAGTGCGGCACTCGATGGCGCTGGAGAAGGGCGAGGTCAAGCTGCCGCCGGCCGACCCCACCGCCGAGATCACCGGTCAGTTCCCACCTGTGGTGACCCCACCGCCGAGATCACCGGTCAGTACCCGCCTGTGGTGACCCCACCGCCGAGATTACCGGTCAGTTCCCACCTGTGGTGACCCCACCGCCGAGATCACCGGCCAGTACCCACCTGTGGTGACCCTCCCGCTGAGGTCACCGGTCAGTACCCACCTGTGGTGACCCCACCGCCGAGATCACCGGCCAGTACCCGCCTGTGGTGACCCCCCCCCCCCCCACCGCCGAGATCACCGGTCAGTACCCACCTGTGGTGACCCCACCGCCGAGATCACCGGCCAGTACCCGCCTGTGGTGACCCCCCCCCCGCCGAGATCACCGGTCAGTACCCACCTGTGGTGATCCTCCCGCCGAGATTACCGGTCAGTGCCCACCTGTGGTGACCCCACCGCCGAGATCACCGGTCAGTACCCGCCTGTGGTGACCCCCCCCCCCCGCCGAGATCACCGGTCAGTACCCACCTGTGGTGATCCTCCCGCCGAGATCACCAGTCAGTACCCACCTGTGGTGACCCCACCGCCGAGATCACCGGTCAGTACCCACCTGTGGTGACCCTCCGAGATTACCGGTCAGTGCCCACCTGTCGTGACCCCACCATGGAGATTACCGGTCAGCAAAAGATATGGCTAGGTTTGAGACTGGGTGGGAGGTGGGGGAGGGAAGCAAATTAGAGTTGCATGGGTCAAATTGCGGGAGGGAACAATCTTACCTTTGCCTTTACTGACCTTACCTTACCTTTTTACCTTTGAATAACATTCGAATTGGGAAAGCATAAATTCTTGCGTTCTAGGTGCAACATTGGAAGGATAAAATGACACTGAAAATTGAATGGGACATTGTTCCCCAGCCCCACCCCCCTTCTTCCCTACCGTAATGATTACATGGTTGCTGGTCAGCGCCCGCCCGCGGCGTCTCCCCCGCTGGGACCACATTTCTGAGGCGACCCCCACTGCCCCGCCTGAACATCGTCGGTTCGAACAGCCGACGTTATCGTGCGTCTTCCTGCCAACGCCGGTGCACGTGACGTTTCAAGGTCACGTGTAACTGATGGCTGCGCGCTTACGTCGCAGGCACGCGGACCGAGCAGCGCGTCAAGATGAGCAGAATGCGCCAGAGAATAGCGCAGCGACTCAAGGACGCTCAGAACACCAACGCCATGCTCACCACCTTCAATGAAATCGACATGAGGTGCGCGGCTGAGGAAGCGGCCATGGGTGGCTTAGCCTGAAGCGGTCAGGTTCCGGGAAGCTGGAGCGTTCATGGTTCAGGAAGCGGCCTGTGGATGGTTTATGTTCACGTCTCGCATGTTGGGCTCGCCCCAAGTGTGACAGATTTTTTTGGTAGCTTGATACTTGTTGCCAACGTATGCTGCTATTGTTTACGATGAAAGCACACATTGGGCTTTTAAAAAAAGGTTTCGATAAATCTGTATTTCGCTCCACCAACGTTTCATTCTGAAATTAGAATTATGATCCTGCATGGTGGTAAGTAGCCCTGGTTTCTATAGTCTAGGTGAATGGGGGTACTGTGGAGTATTTAATCGATACTGGTCTCTATGAAATCAAAATTAGCTCGTAAATGCCTCTGTTACGTCGATGATATGCTGTCCTAAATCTGCAGCAACATCATGCAGCTGCGGAAGCAGCACCAGGAGGCATTTGTGAAGAAGCACGGCATCAAGATCGGCTTCATGTCCGCCTTCGTGAAGGCGTCGGCGTACGCGCTGACCTACCAGCCGACGGTGAACGCCGCCATCGACGGCAACGAGATCGTGTACCGCGACTACGTGGACATCTCGGTGGCCGTGGCCACGCCCAAGGTGAGCGGACTGTGGGAGCCGGGCCGGTCGGCGGCTGTCTGGCCGGCGCTCCCTACACCGGTCCCTGGTAGCATCCACTGCAAACGGTCGTACGGACTTAGCAAGATTCTGGGGCTAGGTGACTCATGTGAAGGTTATGCGGTACGGGGACAAATGCTACCACCAGTTGCTCCATGTCTAGTTTTGCTCAGCGGTATGATTTTGCATGCGTTTAGATAGATGATGCTGTGCAATAAGTCAACATCGTGTCATTATTTCAGAGCGATCACATCAACCCATTTTCCGTAAAGTGCATGTTGCCTTATTGCATGTGCATGCACCTTATTCCCAGAAAAGCAAAAGGGGATATTTAGGTTCCTTTTTCCCGTTACTCTTTGAAACGACGTTTCTTATTGCACGGCCAGAGCTTTGGAACAGCTTTACAGTGTTTGACATGCGGGGGTCTCGGAAATAGCTCGGGGTGTCCGATGACGATTCAGACGGAGCATTATCGGTACATTGGTTTCATAGTGCGTGGCTCTCGGTCTAGATCACAGATAATCCCACGAGATATTTTGCGAGATTACTGAGGAATCTGAACCTTACCGGTCGGTAACAAGATAAGCGTGGTCTCTACAAGGTACAGGCGAGCCAAGGGACAAACGAACACCACGTAGCCGAACTGAGTCTGAGAGAGAGTCATTGGAGCCTAAAAAGCCTGGATAGTCCAGTTATGAGCGCTTAAAGAGATGTCTGGAGCTTTTAAATACGATCGAGAGCGTGTGGCGAGTCGGTATCAGAACAAAGTGGCCTGTTATCGCGACACCGAGACTTCCAGACTATTTTGCCCCGCTATAGCCGTCGCTTTGCGTCAGGTCGTTGTAGGGTTAGTTTCTGTGACGTCGCTCATGCATTGATGTACTGATGGGAGCGGTGCATTGGACCTAACAGCGGAGCGGTGCGTAGCGCCTGACAGCGGAGCGCATAGGGCCTAACAGTGGAGCGGTGCGTAGCGCCTGACAGCGGAGCGCATAGGGCCTTACAGTGGAGCGGTGCAAGGCGGCTAACGGTGTGTAGGGCCTAACAGTGGAGCGGTGTGTAGGGCCTAACAGTGGAGCGGTGTGTAGGGCCTAACAGCGGAGCGGGAAAAAGGGCAAAGGGTGTAAAATGGTGCGACGCGTGGAGTTCCTCGAAATGTCATGACCCCGCCATTCGTTTTGTCCCGTCGTTTCACTGGAGGGGTAATGCAATAGGCAATGGGAAATTTAGTGACTTACATGGGCATCCACCTCGACTGAGTGGGCAATGACCTGCTCAACTGGTCTGCTGGCTGCGGTCCTGGCGTATCATGTATGCCCCAACGATTGTTTTCGCAGCCCCGTTACAGGCCGAGGTCCAGTAAACCCTTCGAGCTGGAAGGTGGTAAAGGCATCGATGGTTGCTCTGGTGTGGTGCCACGTTTGTGCAAATGAGAATCGGCTGGACGTTGCATTGCCATTGCACGGTCTGTATGTATTCTTTGTATGAAGCTCACCGGCACAAGGTGTCGTGATTGTTCCACTGACGCTGCGTGATGTCCAGGGCCTGGTGGTGCCTGTACTCCGCAGCGTGGAAGGCATGAGCTACCTGGACATCGAGAAAGGCATCGAGGCGCTCGGAGCCAAGGCCAAGGACGGTCAGTTCGCGCCGGCTTCGCGTCCGGTGGAGCTGCATCTTTTATTGTTGGTCGGGAATGCTGTAGAACGGTCCACCCCTCCAATGATTGTGGTTCCTCCCATACATTGTCCTGATGTCTCAAGCGACGTTTCACGCTTGTAAAGCTATGGCGTACTGCATTTCCTTTTATGAATATGAGTGCTCTTAACAGCGCAAATGACACCTCAGAAGCATTTAAAGATACGGTGTTTTCTTGGGCGCTGTGAATGTGGTCATTGGGGTCCACACACACACACACCCCTTCCCTCCCCATCGCCGCCCGCGCGCGTTCCGTAGTCACCTCGGCCAGTGCCACGTGTGACGGTGTGGATGGAGTAAGTGTTGAAGTACCTCAGAGAAATATCCCGAACTTGGAGTGGAGCACAGCAGGAAAAATAGTTCACAGTTTTACAAACAATCATGAATTAGCTGATCGTGCGAATATTTAACACCCGGATCAGGTTAACTCCCCTGATGCGTATTATTTTCCTCGTGCTCTGTATGGGCCATGTCTTGAATATCCTCTGAGTGTATGCTATTTCTAGTCAGACTGGTGGCCTGCTGGCTGCCTTGTTCCTCCATAGCACCCAAATGGTGTGATGTTAAGCGGTAATGGGTCCAGGCCAGGGTTTACATTTGAAGCGCCAGATAAGAGCCCAGGGACTGTTTTATTATTAAGCGCATTTATCACTACAATCAATTACTTGATGGAAAGTATCTTTTTTCCGAGCGGAGTTAACAAGTGCCCACCGTCCATGCCCTATGTGAAGACGCCAGAATGACGCGCGAGCTAACATATGCTGATACGGAGCTAAATTACGGCCCGTGGGGACCAATGTAAATAAGTCATGCCCAGTAAGTTTCAGATGTTTGATGCGCCCCATAGGCATCCAAACTTGTTTCCATCAGATACGGACTTCGCTTACCGTAAAGGGGGCTTGATGCCGGGAAAGTTGTAACTGCGCCACTCAAGTCAAGTTGGTCAACTATGGCGATTTTTTTCGATATTGTGGAGTGGACTGGGGGTCCTCTGATATAGGTGGGGGCCCCACCCCCACTGACAATGCCCCTCCGCTTGCCCAGTTTAGGACTTCGCCTCTGTCACCAGGCGGCTCGCTGTCCGTCCCCTGACCACCTGTCCTGCCTGGCGACTTCCTGTCCATCTCCTGACCCCTTGTCCTACGCTGAGTACTCGCTGTCCGTCCCCCGACCCCCTGTCGTGCTCTGGCGGCTCGCTATCATCGCTTGACCCCGTGTTGTGCTCGGGCTCTGGCAGGCTCGCTGGCTGTGGAGGACATGGACGGCGGCACGTTCACCATCAGCAACGGCGGCGTGTTCGGCTCCATGTTCGGCACGCCCATCATCAACCCTCCGCAGGCGGCCATCCTCGGCATGCACGGCATCTTCCAGCGGCCGGTCGCGATTGACGGCAAGGTGCGGTGGACTGACGGTCGCGGCGGGTCGAAACCCGCGGACCGCGCCGACATGGCGCTGCAGGAGGGGGGACTCACAGGCTGCAATCCGGGCTGACTGCTTTGGGCTGACGCGTTCGCCTCGGAGTTCTTTGTGAGAAACGTTGCGCTCGTGATGGGCATCATGCGCGGCCCGTGTGCCGGGGCCATCTCGCGATAGGTTGGCTAACCCAGGCTTGCCCGGTTCTCCGCCAGGTGGAGATCCGTCCGATGATGTACGTGGCGCTGACGTACGACCACCGACTGATCGACGGCAGGGAGGCGGTCACCTTCCTGCGCCACATCAAGGCGGCCGTCGAGGACCCGCGCGTTCTGCTGCTCGGCCTCTAGACGAGCGGCGGTATCTCCCCCAGGCGGGCTCGCAGGCGGGCCCCTGACGCTTGGCCCCGCCGCCTCCAAGGACGGCGAGCCGGCCGCGGGCCCGCTGCTAGACAGGCGTAGGTGCAATGGGTGTGCCGCGTGCGGTGGCCCGGCACGTGTGACTGCGACCGGCCCGTTTGCGGCGTGGGACGTGGCGCTTGCCTCGACTCAGCAAGGCCACCACACCGACCTCGGCCGGCGTCGCGACCGCAGCGCGCGCCACCACCGGCTCTCTCGGGAATATCGTCAGCAGCTGACGCCATTGTCGGGTTTTGTACGCTGGCAAACTGGTCCCACAGTGGACCCCGGTGGGTGCTAATGGCGGCTCCTCCGTGCTGTCGTTGCGCCGAGTGCCGCTTACGGAATTTAACGCGAGTTAGCTGGCTTCAAGCGAGTTTTAAAGGAGTCGGCCAAGTTCGCTATTGATGACCTTTCAGTGACCACATGCACAACGGCGGCTCGATGCATGCGATGGACCACCCCTCCCCGTGTACATATTGTTATCACCCCGTGCGGAGTGAAAAGACGCGTGCCTGGTGCCGCGGCGGGACGGGGTTGCGTCCTGACTGGCGCGGAGTCAGTCGGGGGTCGGGCCTGACTGCCATTCTGAACCGGTGCGAGTGAAGCTATTAATACAGGATTCAGCGATCACTCGGGCGGCGTTTACCGTCGACGCTTCGGAGGGTCGTAAAACAACTCAATGGTGAGACAGATCGCGCTGTTTGCTTACGAATGCTCCGCTATCGCCCCAACAGCCCTAGAGTCCATTAGATATGTATGTAGGAGGCTCGCAGGCGTTCAGCCGCCTAAACCTCGTCTCCTCGTCACCCTAAACCTCGTCTCCCCGTCTCCCTCGTCATCAGGGGCAGTGGCGTAGGGTTCATTCGCCCTCCCGCTGTTCCGTGGTTGAGGCTTTTGCGGCGCGCCAGCCGACGGCGGCATTGGTCGGTCCGTGCCGGAAGCTACACGGTTCCCATCTTCTGCAGGTGCCCGTAATATGCGTATCTTGAGTCATTCAGCTCGTTTTGCCCGCTCATGCAGGATGTTTTAGTTCGGCTGAGATCGTTGGATCGCGCGAGTGAGACCATGGTGCGCTGTTTGGTGCCAAACCATGCTGGCATCGCCGGTAACGTTCTGGTGGACGCAGCTGCAAAGAGAGCGGGTTGTAGACGGCACCCCGTAGGCGTTGCACGCCCGTTCCTGCCAGAGACTTTCACCCAGCCGTGGCGAGCTGGGTTTAAAAGAATGGCAACGCTTCTGGGAAAGCATGAACGATCAGCTTAAGGTGACAAAGCCCCGTTAGGTGTACGATAATCGAGTTCGCCGAGTTGCGATGGGAAGTGGCTGTGAGGGGTGCGAGTCGGTCACGCGCACGCAACGTACGGCTACCTGCTTTGTAACGGAGATCGGCCGTGTTGCCACCGCTGCAAAGCACAACTCACCGCCACATTGTTCGCGCACGCTTAAAGTTGATCCAAGAGCGCCTTCTCCATTCCGTCCGACATCTCACCTTTTTATAGGCTTGACGACTCACATAGTTGCTACGGATAAACAAGTTTACTTTTAACTTGGGCATTCCACAGTACATCAACAAGTGCCTCACACCCTCCTCCGTCCGATTTTGATTAAATTTGGCCACGACTCGCGATCAGCGCTGAAGGCGTCTGTGACGCATTTATGTCTCAGTTGCGCTTTTTCGGTGTTAAAGCCTTCGGTAATTTCCAGTTGCGTGGTTCCAACGCTACTTTCGGTGGCGATTTTTCCTCCTGCTTGAAAGATAGCAGTGCAAACCTACGTCAAAATGATCAGTAAACTATCCAGAATATTTGTATGCCATTCGTGGAAGCGTTATTGTACAAAAAACAACACTGATCACGGTATGGACTTAAGCAAGGCACGGAACAATTTTCTAGGATATTCGTCTTTTTCTTATTTGCGTGAGAAAAAACGTTATAGTCTGGTCCCCATATTCCCGAATAACAAAGGTGGCCGCCCGCTTGGAAAGACATGGTCCCACCGACGAAACACGCGTAACGTACGACGGCGCCGCGGTCGGCTGCCTCCCCTCCCCCTCCCTCTCCCCCCAACCTCCATGGGACTATCGAGCCGGGGTAACTGGGGCAGGAGAGGATAAGAGGTGAGTGCATGCTGCGAAGGTGGCGTCTCTCGTTCATGTGGGGTGACTCAGCAGTCGGACAAAGACCTAGTGATCGGGGCATCGGGTTAGTGCCTGTTCGAATCTCAACGAGCTCTGACTGCCACGACTCGGATATAGCCGGAGAAAATATTTAAGTCGCCTTGGAGGGCCTTGAACAAACGCCAGTGCAGCGGAGTAGGTGCCTGCATCACTTAGCCATTCATCTTCATTTTCCAAAACTTTCAATCTGGTCTGCGCTAACCTTCTACACTTACTGAGAAGTGAAACAGTGCCCGTACGTTTACTCGCAAAGAGGACAGGCCTTATGTGAAATTCTTAGCGGGCATATTGTGCTGGAAGTATAAGCACAGGTTTACTTCCATGCGTGTAACTTCCTCTGCAGAATGCCGTTTTCCCAACGAACATGATTTGTTTCGCTGTAGAAAGCGTAGCGGCATCTCAAAGGCAGACCAAGGGAGCAGATGAGTTGACGGAGGTAACCAGGTCAGGCTCCCCGTTCGGGTTCCTCATTCCCGCTGGTTCCTTCGACGAAACGAATCCTTGGATCTTGATTCTCACTGCTTCTTTCAACACAAAATCCTAGATCTTGATTCCTAATAGCTTCTTTATCAAAAGCCAACCCTGGATCCTGATATTCTCTGGTTCTTATGGCAACACAAAAATTTGAAGCTTGGTCCTCACTTGTTCTTTCGACAAAACAAAAGCTAGTATCACAGTTCCCAGTGGTTCTTTAGCATACCATAGGTCTGGTTCCTGGTTTATTGGCTCATTGGAAAACATTGGACCTTGGAAACTAGTTGTCGATTTTTCATACGTACAAGACCCAGACTCATGATCCCCAGCCACAAAGTTATACAAGTCTGACGGGATAACCCCCACATTTTTGTTCTCATAATGATTTAAAAATCAAGCATCACAGGCAAGTCAAACAATCAGTATCCCTGACACCATCACAAAAGCTGACAAAGATTAAGTGTTAGTTGAAAATGATTGCTTACAGCTTGGAAACGAGTGCCTGACATTCGAACCGTCACCCCGGATAACCACACAAAAACGCTCGCACCGCATAAAAGTCATACTTCAGGCACGTCAAGTAGTCAGCATGTCCTGCTTCCGCCGCTACAATTAACAACGTTTTTCCGCTAGTTGAAGACCATGACCTAAAATTTGCAGCGGAGTACATGGCAGCAGAAACCGCGTGCTTCAGTTCATTTAATTCCAGGATTAGAGGAGTGCCTATTATGATTGATGTACTAATCAATATCATTAATTTCCCGCGATATCTCACTAGATTTCAAGGTGTTGGAAACACTCAAATTTCCAAGTTTTCAACCATCAGTCTCCCTACAATGCTGTCAGAGTTAAAAGTTTTTTGCGTAAAAAAACTTCGCATATTCCGTCTGACAAAGGCGTGGCGACTAGGAGAGGCAGGAGGGACTGATATCTTTTTCTTTGAGACCACTCTCGAAAAAAAGGTATATCGACCATTTCAAGTTGGGCCCAATGCTGTCTGAAGGGCTAACATTGACTTTGCGTTGACTAAAAAGGTGTGCCAATAATATTTCTAATACAAATGCTGCGATCCGCAGAACTTTCACTACATCATGTCTACATAACGATACTTATCATTCAAGAACTTTTAATGACAAAATTCCACGCGACAGAACTTCTAACGCAAAAGCATACGCGCGACAATGCTTGTAATGCCAGAACTTCCAATGCATAAATTTCGACGCGAAAAAACTGCTACCACGAAAAAGTTTACAACATAGCATTGCTTCTACGTGGCAGAAATGTTTTCTACAACGCCGACCACTTCCACTCACGTCCAGTCCAGGTCTTTTCGGATGGTGATCACGGAAACTGACCGGGTCTCATATTTTACTTATGCTGGGATGGACATCGTACGCATCTTCACTATGTTGAGGTACTTGACCCTTGCCCCCCCCCGCCAGTTGTAACAGTTGTTAGTCATAATTTCTGCTAGACAGATTACTCTTTTATTTGCCTTCCGACGTTAAGTTTTCTTTACTTAGGTCGTCTGTGTCTTCTGTATCATCTTGAGCCACCATTTCACGTCTTGGGGGATTAGTACGGCCGAGGCGTTGAGTGCTGCCGCCGTCGAGGGGAGACTGTGTCGTATCGTCCCCCATGCGTGTGTGCGGGTCTTACCTGTTACACCTGCTACTCGTTACTCTCGTTACACCTGCTACTCTTCTTGAGCTGTCAGGTGCGGTTAAAGCAGCTGGGAACATCGAAAACCCGTGGTGTTTTCGGAGTTACAGCTCATGTGATCAGACTGAGTCTTACTGTAATTCGGCCTCGTCTTTTGTACGTTGTTAATAACTCGCTAGTGTCAGGAAATGTACCACCTGCGTAGAAAACAGCTACCGTGATACGTCTGCATAAAAGTGGTTATCTAAATGACCCAAATAACTTATGACCCTTTTCGATTGTGTCAGTGATGGTAAATTTTTGCGGGCGAATAGTCGACGATCAGCTTGCATCATGCCTGTCCACACAACCTGTGCTATGTCCCGACCAACATGGTTTTCGCAAAGGTCCCTCCACGGGGTTGGTGACGCTGAGTGCTGTTAACTTGGGTCTTGGTCTAGTTCATAGTTCGTTTATTAAGGGGGCTTCCACGTCGTGGCTTTTCTGCACCCGGCCAATTTTATACAAGATGGTTAAAACATAAAACTGTGTCAGAAACATTTCTAAGGTCGGCATAAGCACACACGCGCACACAGCCACACTTCTCAGCCTCAGAATCAGAGTCTTAAAACCGACAAGAAGCCACGCCTCGATGAAG